TCCGTTTTCGCCGTCAATCATCTTCCCATTGTGAGTGGTGATGTGAATTCAGTAAATTCGTCCTCACAAGATCAAAAATTGTCGCAACTTACTTTCGAGCATAGGGCTAAAATCCTCGAAAGAATGCGCGTCGAACCGTCTAATCGGCGTTAGATTGCGACGTCTTTAAAAAATGACCATTTTAAATTTCTATGGTGATATTTTTTTAGAAAAGCCCGAAAGTGGGTATGGGAAGGGGGGGTTTTTCGTGGATTGGGGTCATATAACAAAGCAAAATGTTTGAGTATTTCTGAATCGCTCATTGTCAAAAAAGCGTGGAATCCAACAACAATCATTACTCACATCCTGAGCAGGCAACTGTAGTCTACCTGCAAAAGTAGTTGATTCCGAAACGGAGCTGACTTCTAAAAATGATCAAGACATCGGTCAGCACATCAGTTGCTTCAAATTGCATTCGACCAAAATAGAATTACTCACACCTACTGTAAAGATCTAGAAGAATCTCTTCAACCTCCGCAATACAGTCTTCATCCAGTCTTCATCCAGCATTCATTCCAAATCATAAGTCATTTCGTCGGTTCAACAATTATCAAAGGTGCAAAATCAAAGCTGCAAGATGGACTTGGTGTGAGTATCACTGAATTTTATTTGTTCAATCATTTGCATAGTTGCGTTACTTCTTACCACTTGCTGAGAGAATAGGCCGTTCTATCAAGAGTTGCCCTGGAGTTGATTGTTGCTTTCATAAGTAAAAATGACAGGTCTTGTCTTGGAGGGAAGAGAAAGAAGGCCACCTTTTCAAATGTGTAGCAATTGTACCAGCTTTTACAATGCGCAAGTCTTCCCAATGCCATTGATAGTGTCAGATGGGTCAACTGAATTGTGACTATTGTCTGTCTGTCATCAACCAATCTGTCATCAATCTTTCACAACAACACATCATCTGCTTCCATTTCACCATGGAAATGGATGTTGGAGCCCAGATCTACTATGTATGACCCCACAGAAAAGTGAGATTGACACCCATGGGGTAGTATTCATGTCTTGGAAGAACCTCTCTGTATAAAGGAAATTGCATTATTTCCTTTCTGTGCTCGCCAACAATGCCGCTTTTTCTCATTGCAATTCACAACATCCGCTTCTTTTTACTTCTTGGTGTCCCACAGAAACCTCATCCAACCAAAATTCCGATACAAGTGCATGGTATCAGATCTGGATATAAGGAAGACCTTGGATGCAAGAAGATGGTGCCTATTGGCGTTATGTGGTGCCGCTTTCCAACCAAAGCTCTATCCCGAGAATCTGTTGCTCTTGGGAAACTGGCGTTGGTGGGCTCAGAAAGCCGCACAAACAAAACAACAATACACCAATCTCTTCTCTGGATGTATATTGGAAGAACATGTTGTTTGCGGAAGGGAAATTTGACCATAAACACAGAAATTGGACCAAAAACGATCGATTGCTTTGTCACACTTGTAAGTTTGCTGCTGTTCTGAGGGTCCTTGTGGCCGCCATAGGAACAGAAAACCACCCAACAACCCACCAGTCGCTTTTGCTGCCTCTATTGGACAAGGAATCCATTGGACCTACCGCCACATTTGGCATAGATCAAGGTGCAGAAGACAATGGGAAGTTTGAAAATCAGGTAAGTTTCTTGATGCATAAGCGTAATCTGGCATGATCTGTCCAAATTGCTGACCCAATGGCTTTGAATTACTTTATTTTAACTTATATTTGTTGTTCAATGATAATCTAACAGGGCTGATACATTGGTATAGGGCAATTCAAGCTAGAACTGTTCCAATTGCACTAACTTGAGTTAGATGATGAATTTTGCAAACATTCCAGATGAGGCCTAGAAATCTATCCAAGCCGTCGTGTTGGCACCCAAATACATCCGGACCCCGCCCAAAGTTGCCAATGTATATGGTTATTGTATTTGGGCATTGACTTTTAGTGCTACGGTGGAAACAAGATTCTAGGCTCCGATTTCAGATGGAAAGAAGTTTGAAAATGAGGTATGTTTTCTTGCTGGCGTGATCTGGCGGAATTGCTGACCTGATTGCTTTGCATTACTTTATGTTAACAAATGTTAGCTGCTCTTTGATGTATGCGGCAAGGCTGATACATTGGCATAGGGCAAGAAAAGGTAGAAGCCACACTTCCTTGAGTTGTTGCATGATCAAGCCGGCAAACAATCCAGACCCAGCCAAGAATCTCTCCACGTTGCGGTGTCCATACCCAGAAACGGCGGGACTTAGCACGACCCTGTACGTTAGACCCTATAATAGTGTGATGTTATTTTATCATGCAATACTAGAAATATGTATATGAACTTGACACACTGAAACTTGGATTTGTTGAGTGTAGTCTGACAGGCGTAGCAAAACCCAATTCTGATTTATCTTGGTGACAGGGAATCCAAGTCCAACATTGCCAATCCATTGTGCCATTCCAAAGCCCTGCCCAAAATAGGTATATAGACTTATAATGAACACTTTGGTCGGGGCCATGTTGTCCCTGGATAGTTGTGGACGAATGTTTCTAGTTGCTAAATCTGGACTCCACCCGACCGACCGTATAGAAAGGTTGCAAAAGTGAAGAAGAAGAAGAATTCCAAATTCCGGTAGCCAGCAGTTAGGGTTAGGGTTAGGGTTATGATGATCTGACGCGTAGCTACCATCCGTGAAGAAAGTACTGAACTTGGAGAAGATGTGAACACGTAAGCGCCAAACTGAAAAGACTAGAGAGTTTTGGCAAGAAACACACAACTCGATCCAGATTGAACCTTGCGATTGAACACTATCAGACCCCAACATAGCGAAGAAAATTTTAACTCGCCTGGGGGGATAGTGATCCATATAAGGAATCAATAAGAGGAATCAGGAGTTTGCAAAAATCATGGATTTTGGACGTCTTCTCAATGCGTTATCGCCAAATGGGCGGGCTCATAGACCCCCAGTAGCAACAGTCAATTCGGACCTATCAAGTACCGGCCGGAGCAGACAGAGAGGCAGCGTGACCTCCGGACACTCTCATTCCTATTCAACCAGAAGCTGTTCATCCGTGGCTGGCGTGCCACGAGTCGTGGAGGAAATTCAAACTGAAATGAGCGATTTCCGAAGCACTCATGATGGCAAAATCGATTAAGATTTTGATGCTGGCCTCTCTGATGGGGAACCGACACGAAACCCGGGAGAAGCACCACCAGACACTGAAGGAGAAGAAGAGGATCCCAAAGAAATCTGGGACGGGACCAAGCCAGCGATTGAGGATCTCATCCATCTGGACAATACTCACTGTAGAGCCAACTTCATTGGGCCAACGGTGGAGACAGAACACGATCTCTTAGTCTGTGGAAAGGCAACCCGGCGTTGTCGAGAACACAAGGACGAACGCAAAGTGAGCAGAGCAGAACCACAATGGCTTCTACGCGTTGAATCTGCACATTTAGATAAGAACGGGGAATCCGTCTTCCATGGCAAACGAAATGGATTCCGATGCTCTGAGGAGAGGATGGAGGCGCGCCTTTGTCTTGATCATGTCAGGCGCTCAGATGACGAATACCCACAAAGCAGTGGAGTGGAAGAGAGCGAAGTGGAGTCAGAAAGAGAGACAGACGAATATCAGTCACGTATGGATAAGATTGCGGCAGAGATTGCAAGATTGGAACAGGAAGCTCTTTTGACAAAGCTCAAGGCCAAGCAAGCTCTCTTGGAAAAAGATGCCTTCCCGGCAGGCCAACCATCTCGAAAATCACCGTCCAAGAGAAAGAAGAAGACCCAATCTACGCCCAAGAAACCGACGCCAATCGCCCGTAAGAAAAATCCCACTAAAAAGCCAACAAACAAGTAACTATTGGTGAAGAGCACAATACGATGAAGTCACCACCCAGAGCCACGGTAACAGGGACGAACCATCACGCTCCACCAACACCGGCTGCAACCAACAACAATGGGAATCAAGACACCAGTCAGTTCATCCTCCAGACAATCCTTCAGTCGACCGAGTCCATGATGAAACAAATGCAGGCAACTGCGGAACGTCTTGCACAAGTGACAGAATGACTTCAAGAAAAGGCGGCTAACCCACCACCTGAAAGCCCGAGGACCACCGCACAACAGCTGGAACCCGACCTACATGGGGCACGCGACAGACCCATTCAATACAACCAAGGAGCAACACCCAACGGAGGAGAAGACGAAGTCCCAAGAGGCCCAAATGGAGAGATCCTCATCAACCATCCTCCCGTACGCATCGGGCAAGTGGATAGCTCAAAGGACAACAAGGACGGAATTCACGGCCTTTTTATATTCGACAGTCAGATTGACAGGGCAATGATGCCAGAAGCTTTACTGAGGAGCCAATACAAGGGACTATACAATGTAATGAATGATATTGCGAGTTTACCAGGTAGGTGCTCACCAAAGAGAGGAGGTGGTGATGTGGACATGAATACGGACACTACGGACATTATGCAGCAGTTCTTGGAGACTGTGGAATCTAGCAAGAACCCCTCCATGAAGACTACGATCACCGACATCCACTACCCCAAGACTTCTAGACACGGGCTGTCTTTAATCAAGTCAGAAGCCAACCTCTTCGAAGCGGCCAGCACTAATATGGCAGAAGACAAAGAGCTCACCTCTCGTAACCAACGACTTCGCGTCCAATTCTACCTACATGACCGGGGATATATGAAGGACTTCATTGACAATTACTTGGAACGAAGTCTACTCTGCCTCATTATCCAAGAAACTCTGACCAACTACACCACACTCATCAACAAGATCCGGCAGAAGAGAATCGATGGCATGAGCAATGCGTGGAAAGGGTCAGAAACCTACCTCCTGCTCTCCCACCACTCCAAGGAACTACTGAGAATCCGAGTCCACTGCACCAGCAAAAGACTGTTGCTATTCCAGAACTACATCTACCTTTGTGACGCCCAAGCAAAGAACTTCAACAGCAACAAGATCATGGAGAAGACCGTCACCAACGTCAGAGAAGAGAATTGTCTCTTCCAAGAGGCCCTGGATTCCCGATTGGAGGCACTTGTGGAGGAGAGACTAGCAGAACATCTTGCCAAGAACAAGAAGGGTGCAAGAAAAGGCAACAACGAACCCAAATGCTCTTGGTGCCACAACAGGGATCTGCACATTGCTCTAGGAATCGAACATACTCCAAAAGCCTGTACCCTCAGAAGCCATCCAACTACCTGGGCCAAGAAGGCCTGCCGAAAAGTCCTCCAAACTTACAAAGCGGATCCCAAGCGACCTATTGCGGAGATCGTAAAGGAAGTGTCCGAGGGTTGGAAGAAGGAATCACCCACGTCCGCAACCTATTTACCCTGAGAGTAGGGAAGCATACTAATGGCCCACCTCAGGAAGACACACACCACATCACATCTGGGAGTCGGGAAGCTTACTAATGGCCCACCTCAGATTTACACGTACAACACACAACCACATCACATCCCATTCCTAAGAAGGCGGCCAACTGAAGAACGCAAGCCACAGACCACATCAACCACACCACCATCAAACACCTTGCCTGTACCACATCTACTTTGTTATAACTGACTGTTCTTTCACACCTTGACTATTACCAGGTGAGCAAAAGTGTAGCTTTGACGATGATACGGCAGGAGTGACGGCAGGAGTTGAAAGATGGAGAGTGGCTACGACGGGTTTGTTAGGACTGAGAACTATGGGAGTAATAGGGGGTGGATGTGAACTCATGCAATATGCATGGCCTAAGTTGGACCTATTGTTCTCGATCCGACACAAGGAGGAGACAATACCAACAGACCTTGTAGATCCACCGTTGGTTTGACTCGGACCACACCGCCCATGGTTGGGCCTCCTGGAGAACCATCCGGTGGATCTATAAAACTCAGAAATAAAAAAACAAAAACTATAAGGTAGAAGATTATTTTCCATGCACAGCACCAAAACAAAAGTGTACCAGTCCTACGCGTTTTCTACGTAAAGGAAAACAGTTGTTGTTGCACTTTAACATGAAGGATGACATTGTCAACCCGCCGGAGAAGGATCCGAATTTGATCATGACTGTAGCTGACCAAGGTCAGGGAGGTCTCGAGGAAAAAACCGATCAAATTTGACCACTCAATCTTTGATTGCTCTAACAAAGGATAATCCTGCCATCACGACTCCCAAGCGCAGCAGCAAGCGAAACCCTTCAGAAACCGCCGAGGATGGCGCAATGAAAGGCCGCTCAATATTCCCATCCGAAGTTCACCAAGGTCAGGACGTCACGGTCAACACTCGCCCAAATCCGACCACTCCTTTGTCAATCTAGTTAACCAAGGACAATCCGCCTGATCCCACAACTTCAAAGAGCCAACGCAAGCAACCCCCTCCTTCCAAAACCGCCAAGGATGGCGCAGTGCAAGGACGATCGCTCGTTGCCTACATCACAAAACTCAAGGTGTCAAAGTTTCACAGGCTCTACAAGAAGGCTTGGAGACAGGAGATGTTTGCTCTCGCAACGGCCCAACGCGTTATCACTACTGACGAAAAGTTGCCTCGCTTTTGGGAATTCTTGCTTGTGTTCGACCCGACATTAATTGTTCAACCCGCCGAGCCGTTGACTTGGATGTGGCTAGCGGCATCCGAATTCTTCGCTAATCCTGCTATCATTCCTCACATTGTGGAGGAATTTGAGCGACTAAAACGAGAGCTACAAATAGCCAAAGCTCAGTCCAAGTTTTGACCAAAACAAGGTTGGAAACAGGCCGAACTTCTCCGCTTTTTACACACAACAACAATCCTATTTTATGACGTCTGCGCTGCCCATCAGAAGTGGTCACCAACCATGGGCTCAAATGACGAAAAATCACAAGAGATGGCTTTGAAATCGACAAGGACTGCACCTGAGCACGCTCAGGACGGTCTGGAGGCAACAACCCGCTCGAATTCTACCACCCTATTGACGGTTGACCTTGTGAAGGACAACCCCAATGAACACAAATTCTCCATGTTGTACAGCATATTTGTCTTGTTTCTTTCTCTGGAAAAGATACAGCAGACCGATTTTCTGGGTCTACCCTTCCAAATCCCCACCAACAGAGTGGGAGCGCCAATCTGCCCATTGACAGATGACTTGAGAGAATTGCATTCAATTCTTTCCTTGGAAAAGGTACCCACAAAATTCCTCTGTATCCCAGGAGAAATCCTTGCATCTTGTTTGTACTTACCCACCAACAGTGGGGGCGCCGATTTGTCCCCTGACATGATCGACTAGAGCAACTTTTTTCTTGAAAAATGCCTCAACGTGGTTCAAACTTATCTGACTAAAAGCAGCATAGTTCCTGGCCTCTACAGCTGTATCAAATAAAGGTCACCGTGCTATTAGATACGCACGCATAGTCTGTACGCAGTAACGTACAGAATCGGTGATGGACCACACACATCATCACAACTTTCTAGATTTCCTTTTACAAACGTCTATCAACTTTCCTTTACTTTTATCATCCTCCTAGTAAGTCTATCGCTACACAACATATTTTACATTGTTTATCACGACCCAATAGCTATGAAAGCAAAAGCTATTCAATGAAATGCATTCAAATGAACGAATTATGAATACGAATACTGCAATATTTTTTAATATGTGCAAAGCCAATTTCGATTGTGTCAATGGTGCTACATCACCGGTTTTGACCATGTAAAACTGTCAAAGGTGTAACAAATGCAACACCAATACAAACGAACTAACTAAGGAATCACTTTTATAGGCAAAATGGCCGCCGCAATTCCTGTTTTTACGATCTATGATGCCATGATTTTATGTCAAATCCCTGACACTGGGAATTTCCAAGGACAAACTGACGCTCAACGTATGGCAGAAGAGCTCTTTGACAACAATTTTGGCACTGCCATGACCAAGTCAATCAAGCAGGTCAACATGGACCTTGCAACGCTTGCATCCTTGACCGCTGTGCAAGGACGAATTGTGTCAAGACCAAGGGCTCAAGACCGAATCAGAGCATTTGTACAGTGGGTTCGCGATGAAATTCGGATGGGCAGGAATCCTGCACAACACCCTTTCCCAGCTGGAGATACATCTACTCTGCTGCAGCGATTGAACTTCCATCAAAAGTATGTCAAAGATTCTAAAACTTTAATTGACAATACGGTTCCACCCAAGTGGAGCAAAGAACAACAATGGAAGCAATGGGTCAAGCTGCTCCGTGACCACCTCCGCGCATATATC